GACGTCAAACTTCAATGTTGATGTTGCGTCCTTTTTTTTTATTTATTAGTACATTACAATTGACTAGGTAAGTGTTCAACACATTTATGAAATGTGTGGAATAAACTATTTTCCCAAGCGTCTTATAAATGTTATAATCTGAACGTAAAGGAATCATAATCGTTCATAATCGTTCACTATACTTCTAATTTACGCAGAAACCATTACGTTAAATGCACCTCCTCTTCTCGAATAGAGATGAACGTATCGAAAACCAAATACAGAGAATCAATATTTCTACCTGTATATATTTCAAATCAATTAAATATATATATTTTTTTTTCAATGTGGAAATAAAACCCGTGGACGTCAACGTTTATTTTTAACACATACACAATATTACCCCTAGATCCACGTGTATAAAAAATACAATCCACTATTTCGCTTTCATATATATAGCATCCTGTAAATAGTTGTGGAATTAAAATCAACAATTAAAGTCATACGAGCCAAATTTAAGTAAGCATCTCGAGGTATTTCCTTTTCAAATACACAATAAGTAAATTAATTACGTTTCATTGTTATACCGCCTTTTTGTCGTCCAACAAACAATTCAACTCCGCAATGATGGATCTCCCTTTTCAATTACATATTATATACAAGGCGGGGCATTTAACTTGAGACACGATTGTACATAATAGATTCATTTTAGAAAAAAAGAGCTTCGATAAAAGTTTCTTCATTTCGAGAAGGAATTATAATAACATCCCTTACATGTATATACTTCAATTTCAAAGTCATTTCGGGATCAATCTCAGTTTTCTACCATAAGCCCTACGTTTTCTTTCACGGCATTACATTGTACGCGAAAAAGAAAGTAACTTTTATTAGGAACATTGTTTTTTCAACAACTTCAATATCGACAAATAACAACAGAAATACTGTTGAAGAACAATCAGTTCCGAGTTACCTTGTTCAACGGCTCCGTTTTACTATCTACATCAGTCAACCTATGTGTCGGTTGAGATAGACCCCGAAATTGAATTTTACATAAAATTTAAATAAACAATGTATATTACGATTATACATCCCCTTAGAAATCAAGAAACTTTTATTCGACCTTTTTTTTCTCTAAAACCAATTGTTTATTATATACAATGAGGTCTCAAATTAACCGTCCCATCCTGTATATTACATATATTACGTATATATACGTATATATACATATATTATGTACTATTATGTACATATAAAATAGATTTGAATTTATTCCCTTATCCTCCATGTGTCGGTTGAGATAGACCCCGTAATTGAATTTTACATAAAATTTAAATAAACAATGTATATTACGATTATACATCCCCTTAGAAATCAAGAAACTTTTATTCGACCTTTTTTTTTCTTTAAAACCAATTGTTCATTATATACAATGAGGTCTCAAATTAACCGCCCCATCCTGTATATTACATATATTACGTATATACACGTATATATACATACATTATGTACATATAAAATAGATTTGAATTTATTCCCTTATCCTCCATGTGTCGGTTGAGATAGACCGCGTAATTGAATTTGACATAAAATTTAAATAAACAATGTATATTACGATTATACATCCCCTTAGAAATCAAGAAACTTTTATTCGACCTTATTTTTTTCTCTAAACCCAATTGTTCATTATATACAATGAGGTCTCAAATTAACCGCCCCATCCTGTATATTACATATATTACGTATATACACGTATATATACATATACTATGTACATATAAATTTATTCCCTTATCCTCCAAACCCACCTCGACCTCCGCTAATAAGAAATCTCGATTCCCCGATTTTTTCTCCTCTTTCTTGCAGGTACTGTCTGGTCTGTGTCATCTCTCATGTACATTGGTACATCTTCTGCTCGTCTACTTCCGCACATCGATTCACCCTTCCGGTCTCAGCCTTCTCGACTCTCGAATCTCACATCTACTGTCTCTCTGCCTTCCTCTCGTCATTTCTGAACTCTGTGCCGGCGGACGCCCTCTTGCACCTGTGTTGAGCGCAACCAACTCTGGCCATTGTCATGCACCTCACAACTGCGACTCGGTTGCGTTTCATTTTTCTATATTTTTTTTTGGCTTAAGGTGATGTTAAAGTGGCGTCGAAGAGGTTTTGTTTATAAAACTTTTCTCCCATCTCGATTTACCGAATAGTTTGAAACTTCACAACGTGAAGAGGGAGACTATAAGGAAGGTCCTGAAACTCATGAAATTTCAATTCTTTTCTAATTTGTTTATAGGTATTTTAAAAATAGTTTATAAAAAATGAAATCTCGCGAGTTTCAGAACCTACCTTAGGGTCTCCGTATTCACGTTTTAAAGTATGAAACGATTTGAGACACCCAGTCCGTAGAAATGTTTTATGAACGATTGAGCTTTCGGATGCCACTTTCACATCCCCTTAAGGTGGTGCGAAAGTGACGAGAAGAGGTCTCGTTTATGAAACTTTTCTTCAAACCGCGTGCACTCAATTATATGAAACTCTAACACGTGATTATGGAGGCCCTAAGGAAGAACGCGATGCTCGTGAAATTTCATTTTTCATCAAAAATATGCGTCCTTGGTTCTAGGGTGGGATACATAAAAAATTTTTGTTTGAAAAATGAAATTTCATGTCCTTCCTTAGAGCCTCCATAATCACGTGCTGAAGTTTCAAATTATTCGGCGCTATTTGGAGAAAAGTCTTATAAACATTTTGACGTTTCGGTGTGTGTATATATACCAAACTATATATATATGACACTTTCACATCACCTTAACAGGTGCATCTCCCTTCGACCGAGGGAGTGATATGCGATATCTTCTTTTACGGCAATTCGCGAAATTAACGTCACTTCTGACTGAACGGTATTTCGGAGCTCAGTTAAATCAAATGCGTGTAAACGCCAAAAGGGTGTGAGTTCCTTAAGGTGATATGAAAGAGTTGTTCTATATATCAAAACGTCAAAATATTTGTAAAACATTTCTCATGGCTGGATGCGCCAAATCAATTGAAACTTCGACACGTGATTATAAAGGCCCTAAACAGGAATGAAATGCTCGTGAAATTTCATTAAAAAAAAAAATGTTCTTTTATTTAACGTAGGTGAGAACCAAGATCACATTTTTTAGTGAAAAATGAAATTTCACGAGCATCGCGATTGTTCATAGTTGACGTATACGCAATAATTTATTGCTAATTAATTGCAGAAGAGCAGACTTAGATTCTTTTATTCACCCCTAAAGGGGTATGTCAGTAGAATAACCCTTTCATATCCCCTTAAGGTGATGTGAAAGTGGCGTCAAAGAGGACGCCTTTATGAAACTATTTTCCGAACTGAGTGTGCCGAATCGTTTCAAACTTTACAACATAAACATAGATGCTAAAAAGAAGGTCCTGACACCCATGAAGTTTCAATTTTTTTTAAATTTGTCCATAGACGTTTCAAACATTTCTTCTAAAAGATGAAATTTCAAGGATGTCAGGACCTTCCTTACAGCCTCCATATTCACATGGTAAAATTCGAAACAATTCGATACACCCAGTTCGGAGTAAAGTTTCATAACGATCACTCCCCTCGTATGCCACTATCACATCCCCTTAAGGTGATATGAATCTAGTGTCAAAGAGGTCATCTTTATGAAACTTTTTTTCCGTATTGGGTGTACCGAATCGTTTCAAACTTTACAACATAAACATAGAAGCTAAAAGGAAGGTCCTGACACCCATGAAACTTCAATTTTTTAAAAATTTCTCTATAGGTGTTTCAAACATTTCTCCTAAAAGATGAAATTTCAAGAATGTCAGGATCTTCCTTATAGCCTCCATATTCACATGGTAAAATTCGAAACGATTCGATACACCCAGTTCGGATAAAAGTTTCATAAACGATCACCCCCTCGTATGCCACTATCACATCGCCTTAAGGGGATGTGAAAGTGGCGTCAAAGAGGTCATCTTTATGAACCTTTTTTCTTCTAAACACGAAGAAACTGGATGTACCGAATCGTTTCAAACTTTACAACATAAACATAGATGCCAAAATGAAGGTCTTGACACCCATGAAATTTCAATGTTTTTTATATTTCTCTATAGACGTTTCAAACATTTCTTTTAAAAAATGAAATTTCAAGGGTGTCAGGACCTTCCTTTTGGCATCTATGTTTATGTTGTAAAGTTTGAAACGACTCGGTACACCCAGTTCGGATAAAAGTTTCATAAACGATCACCCCCTCGTATGCCACTATCACATCCCCTTAATCTCCGAATCTCGGTCATCATCCGATAGCTGGTCGAATGTATTGACGAGTTTGCGGATATCGCCTTGCATCCGCCGGAATGGGATATCTCGCCGGAAAGATCTCGGAAGTACACCTACGTATATGTACATATATATACTTGACGTATTTCAGATCCGTTTAAGAATAACCGCTCGAACAAAGCCTGTGCACCTGACGTACAGTAACTCGCGGCGTTTCTTCCTTCCGCGACTGCATGCACGTTGGAAAAGCATCCGCTGAACGTCCGTTCCGAAAGAATGGCGAAATCTTTAATAAACGTCGAACCTGTATTCGTATCTCGAGCTCGTTACGATATCGCTTGATCGACAATCGATCTATTATCTCGTGGAAAAGTGCGACAAAAGCGAGAGTGAATACAGGTCGACGTGATTAACTAAATGGGCCGCAAAAGCCCTAATTAACGTGACCGTATGAATGCGACCTAAGACGAGAGAAATTAACGATTCTATTGTTCAGACACGTTATTGTTATTATTGTTGTTGTTGCTGTATCGTTGTTGTGCTGTGAGAGTTGTTATCGTTAATGTTACTAACGACGCCGTTTTGCCACGTTGGGTCTCGCGTTAAACGACTCTACGGGGACATATATACATATATCTTTCTCTATATATATATACATTTATATATCTTATTTCTCACTCTTCTCGTGCATGCTCCGTAGTTGACGTACTAAGGGATCTTTACCCCGCAGTTAACCTTACGCTCTTTTTTGGGAATGCTGGTCGGATAGACAAGCCCGATACCTCGTTCCAACGCTCTCGGAGCTCGAGTATGTCCTCTTTGGAGAACATCGCCTCAGAAACCATCAGCTGCCTTACTTTTGCCGATTCCTACACGAAGAAAAGTGGTAAGCACTAGGCCGAGTTACTTCCTTCCACCCTGAGACTATCAGGCCCGTGATATGATTTACAGGATTTATTTTCAATTATTCCTTAAGGCTATGTGGAACTGTCTCGTTTATCGAGCTTTTCCATGCCCATAAAGCTGGCATCGCCACTTTGGCGCGATTCAAGAAAATTTATTGCAAAATTCATTGTCAATGTGTTGCGCGGGAGACATTTTTTGCCCTTATACTTTTTCGAAAAACGGTGGCGATGCCAGCTTTGTATTAAACTTGCATTGCCACGTTATAAAAACAATATTAAAGCAAATTTTCATAATTGACGTATGCGCCAGAATTTATTGCTAATTAATTGCTGCTAGCGGCTCTAGGGGTGGTGACATACCCCTTTAGGGGTGAATAAAAGAATCGAAGTCTGCTCTTTCTGCGAGCAATTAATTAGCAATAAATTCTTGCGTATACGTCAACTATGAACATTTGCTTTATTATTGTTTTTATAACGTGGCAGGATTTATTTTCAATTATTCCTTAAGGCTATGTGGAATTGTCTCGTTTATCGAGCTTTTCTATGCCCATAAAGCTGGCATCGCTACTTTGACGCGATTCAAGAAAATTTATTGCAAAATTCATTGTCAATGTGTTGCGCGGGAGACATTTTTTGCCCTTATACTTTTTCGAAAAACGGTGGCGATGCCAGCATTGTATTAAACTTGCATTGCCACGTTATAAAAACAATAATAAAGCAAATGTTCATAGTTGACGTATACGCAATAATTTATTGCTAATTAATTGCAGAAGAGCAGACTTAGATTCTTTTATTCACCCCTAAAGGGGTATGTCAGCATTCCTAGAGCCGCTAGCAGCAATTAATTAGCAATAAATTCTGGCGCATACATTAACTATGAACACTTGTCTTATTATTATTTTTATAACGCGGCAATATTAACTTACTATAAAGTTTTCCGTTTTCACGTTATCATGCTGCTATCGGCCCTAGGGGTGGTGACATACCCCTTTAAGGGTGAATAAAAGAGTCGAAGTTTGCTGTTTCTGCGAGCAATTAATTAGCAATAAATTCTTGGGTATACGTCAACTATGAACATTTGCTTTATTATTGTTTTTATAACGTGGCAATGCTAGATTACTATAAAGCTGGCATCGCCACCGTTTTTCGAAGAAATTTCAAGAGCAAAAAATTGTTTTCTTGCAAAATTTTCTAGTAAAATAGCAAATAAATTAGCAATAAATTTTGCAATAAATCTTATCGAATTGTGCTGAAGTGGCAATGCCAGCTTTATGGACACAGCTTTTCTCCAAACTGGATGTACCGAATCCTTTGAAACTTTGCAAAGTGACTTTAACACTGTTCTTTATTATTTGGCTCGATTTAATGCGACCTCGCTTTTTCAGATTCCAGTGCTTTACCGACTTTATGGATTGGTACTTCCTTGGGATCTGTACAAACGATCGTTTTTAACGCGCCAACCTACAGTGAGCGACACACGCAACCCTTGACGATTTCTACATGTAGTAAGTCCGTCGTCTTCGAGACTATTCAACAAATATCCTACACTCAGAAAACCATTTCTTTGCCTCAAAGAAGAACACTTTTTTAATTGAACAAAAAAAAAGATTTCTTTGAATAATGCTCATTCGGATCAAATGACAGTGTTTTGGCAGAAAGAACATGCAATTACCCCCAACGAAATAATTGTTTCTCATTCAAAGAACCGACAATATTCTGCGAATCTCTTTAAAACGTGTTTAAATTGCGATAAATAACTTGATGGAATATATTTCATTCGATCCATTGAAAGAAATGGTTTCTCAGGTATGAAAATATATTCAATTGCACCGAGGACTAAAAAAAAAAATGTTTTCTCTCGAAGAAATTATTCCTTTGAATGGGGTCAAACAAATGAAATATACTTTCGATTTCTTACTGTATTATTTTAAGATATGAAGTAGTCGATCAATGCACTCCACCAGACAGTTAAACATTCGGCGTTATTGTAGCGAAGATTGCATTTTTTTGTTTAATTTCATGTTACAGTTTCTTCAACTCCATTCAAAGAAATAATTCCCTTGAAAGAAACTTCCTTTTTTTTCTTTTTTTCAGTGTATAGATATCTATACATGTCTATATTATTTGCTCGGAAACTATCCTATAAATATCTACACATCGCTCGACAAATGTCCTGGAAATGATAAGATACCTATTACTAAAAAAGTCTTGTTGCATCTAGATGGCTCATCCTTCAAGCTCAAAGGCTCCATTCTAACAATGTCCTTCCTGGATTGCAATGGGGCTCTGATACCATACTCTTACGAGCCCTGGAAAGACGAGAACCTAGACGGCAAGGATCGCAACAGTACGTTTAACGCACCCAATTGCGTAACAAGTAACAGTATATACTATTGGAATTCACGTACGCCGTACATTAACTTAATATCTGCATGCTCTGTGAAATTGCAAGATTCACATTTCCTTAAGGTGAAGTGAAACCCCCTTCAAATGAGTCGATTCGAATACAACACTTTTTTTTGCCTTTATCCCGTTCAAATGCGAGTTTATCGATTATACCACAATTGTCGTAAAATCGTCCTGACCCTTTCGATTCTCATATCAGAGTCTTCGATAATTGTATATTGATCGAAATATGAGAGCTCGACGTCATTTTGGTTTTTGTCTGAACTGAGTTAAAAAATTTTTCCCAAAAATCCAAATTTTGAATGTGTCAAGACAATTCTTAGATGATCAGGAGTGATGTGTCAAGGTTTCGGACAGTTTGGTCTAATACCCTTAAAAAAAAGTGTTGTATTCTAATCGACTGATTTGAAGGGTGTTTCACTTCACCTTAACACTACAACTACTGGCGGATTTTCTTTGTATAGGATAGGCCATTTTAAACCAGTCATTTTGACTGGTCTTGGTAGTTCTAGTGTTAATAGCGATGGATATCGCATCCCTATCGGAGCTTTCTGGAAATAATCGGTATACTGCCGTACTTATAGCTCTTAAATAATTAAATACCCCCGTTAAGGCAATATGTACTCAAAAGCTCACGTTTATTAAAGAAAGCCAGGGAAAGGCGAACAGCAGGACGTCGTTATTATCCAGCTCGCAAACGTCTGGATCAACTGGGTCGGATGGATTTGAGGACCGACAATTTGTCGTATTGACATCGGAGAAACAAGCGCGGGTTGTGGCCCTTCCTTCGCAAAATTGCGTCTACAGACAGCAACTGACAGACACGGATATAGTTATCAAAGCTGAAATCACATCTCTGAAAGGTAATAAACCAATGGGCATCCTTTGAAAAATAATCGAGGTGTAACTTGGAAATTGCCTAGTAGTTACGCAAAGCTCCGACAGGCAGCGCCGTCAATTGGAACGAGGAACGATAATAGTCATTACAAATTGATAAAAGCATGAAAGAGGTGCCTATAAACCAGTTTATCGTATCACTTTCGGATATTAGTAAATGTATTGGGCAAGGTTTATGAAATTAGAGTTGCAATTTCCGTTGTAAAGTCTCTTATTGCCTGTTAATGATGCAAAGGTCCGACAGGTGGCACCATTGACACCGTCAATTGGAACGAAGAACGATAATAGTGATTACTAATTAATAAAAACATGAAAGAGGTGCCTATAAACCAGTTTATCGTATCACTTTCGGATATTAGTAATTGTACAGGGCAAAGTTTATGAAATTAGAGTTGCAATTTCCGTTGCGAAGCCTCATATTATAATAACTGTCGGCGACGACCGTAATTTTAGTTCTTCAAGCGCTCGCCAGAGGCTTCGCTTTGCATAACGGATTAAGATTACTGTCGACAAATATTTGCAATGAAAATAATTCTTATTTCCAGACAGTGTCTGCCTCGTGTGCTATGTTTCAAGTGGTCATATAGCAACATACAGTCTACCAAGTCTCAGACCGCTGATAGATGTCGATTTTTTACCCTTACTGGATTTGAGGTAAGACAAATGTTTCGTTTCGCCAATTATGGTGTCAGGTATTAAGGGAAAGTCTTTCCATTCAAAATAATTTGCACAATGTCTGATGTATGGCGCACTGCAACACGTATAGAGTTTTGTTAAATACATTAACTATTGGATAGTTTTTTAAATGAAATAAGTACGTTTCTCTATCTACTTAACATGGAGATTATAATGCAATTACTGTGAAACGTCATTTACTAAAATTAGTGTCATCTTAATACCAGTTCAAGTGAATAACGGTATTATGATTGAAATGTACTTAAAAGAAAATTACCTTACATACAATTAACCGCCTCATTTAAACAATTAAATTCTGTAAGTATGAGATGAGCCATTATCCGCACGAACAAGATTAACTAGCTCCTGCTGAACTATTTCTTAAGGAAATTAAATTATTTATTAAATTGATATTCAGTGCATTATAGTCCCTAGTTTATATCAATAAGGAATCACTCCATGTTGTAAGTATCAAATAACGACTAAACCTAACGTGATCTAAACAAAAAGGAATTATACTATAACTCGTGTGAAAAATATTTAAATATCCCGATTTAATAACCTAAGATATGCACATCGAATAATGTCTTCCGGACATTCTTTATGTTAATACTTGTTCACCAGATCGATACTATTCCACATTTGCATATAATCATGGAATCGTAAAATGCATGCAAGACCTTACAGCCATTCACCTGACATTAACAATTTATTTAATATACCACGGCACGTAATTATTTAAAAGAAAAATTTCATCGCGAGCAATGAATTACCGCTCTAAGAACAGTCATGTGCTCCATAAATTTCATCTTGCATTGGCATATATATTTACAATTTGCATCGGCTAAACAATTCATAGAATAAGGTACTGTCGGAAAATTTTTTGTTACATTTTTTTTTCTTTTTTTTTTTCAATGGAGATACAGTTACATTAAACATCTATTAAGCCTCCGAATCAAGGTTACTGTATGGTTACGATTCTGTGAGTAAATGTAAATTCTTTATTTCTATATAAAAATTCCGTATCTCGGAAGGAAGTGAACAAGCATGCGATTTCTCTCTTTCTCTGCCACCTTTAATGCACTCGTTAACCCTTAAAACGCTCGAGGCATGCTACATGTAGTTCTCTTATGTAAGCACATTTATTGCAATTGCACATTGTCTCTTGCATTGCTCAAATATTAAACGCTAAAGAGAAAAGATATCTAAATCATTGGTCATTTGTTAACGGATGACGGTAATACAGTGCAGGGTCCTTCTTCTATATTTACAACCTTCGCATAGCTCTTTTATCAACTTTTAATTCACCGAACGAAACTATCACATATCACTGGCTAAGGAGCGGAATTTCGCGTTTCGCAAGGTATTCCTTTTTATTCTGCTCACTCATCACTTTCCTCTTTGCGGCGAAAATCTTTCATGCCGACCATAACAAGGTGCAAAAGAAACGCTAACAACACAGTCACTCTACAGCTGCTACTTTTTTTTTTTCGCCATGGCATTAACCGAGTTCATTGTTACAATCCAATAATGATACAGGAATTAAATCATACGACGTAATGAGCAGAGCTGGAAGAAATACCATTACAAACAGTGCTTTTCACATATTCGATAGGCTGATACGCAAGTATATCATTAAGGTGAAGTGAAACACGTCGAGGAACTTGAGCGACGTCGGTAAAAGGATTCTTCTAAATGCCTACGTTGCCGACGTTCGTTTTTATATTGACAGCTGTGACGAATTATATTAGGTATAGTAATAAATGGCATACTCCACCTGTCGTTTTCGTACAATAATTATAAAGAAATCGAAGTAAAACTCCAGAAATCCTCTGGATTCATGGTTTCTAAGGCCCTAATTGACTGCAGAGGGACCCCCTACGCCATCTGCGATTTTTGGGTCAACTAAATTTTCACTCCGAGACCTCGTATTCCCATCGTTTTAACATAGAAGCGTATAAGACACTTTTTTGCCTTTATCTAATTCAAATGCGAGTTTCTCGATTACCAGAGTGTTCTTAATTGTCGTACAATTGTTCTAACCCTTTCGTTTCTCATATTAGAGCCTTCAATAATTGGATATCGATCGAAATATGAGAGCTTGGTTAAACAATTAAGTTAAAAAAATCCAAATTTTGAATGTTTTAGGATAATTCCTGGATGCCCACGAGTAATGTGTCAAAATTTCCGACAGTTCTATCCAGTACCCTTAAAAAAAAGTGTCTTATTCCAGTCGACTGATTTTTGAGAGGGGTTTCACTTCACCTTAACTAGCCAGAAGTACGAGTACCTTACACTGAGCAATAAAATTTACTTTCTAGGCAAACAATTACTTGCGGCAATCTAAATGTTTCTTACTAAAGAAATTTCCGGGCTCCAGTAAAATTGTTTTTTTGTTTTGTTTTGTTTTTAAGAATCGTCAGGGTTCCAACCCAAATTATGGCAAATTAATATCAAGTGGAAATGATTTTGCTAAAAGAATGTTGTGTACATAATGTATCTCAAGTAATGAGAATATTGATGATCATGGATATAATGTTGCATTGAACATAAACAATTATTAATGGCGAATAATATATCAATATTGCTTGAAATTGATGCCAGAACGAGTTCACCGGTAACTTAGAAGTTTGAGAAAAAAATATTAGTCACGCTAATAATTATATTAAATTCTAGTCTGTTATATTAATTCTTTATTCATTCTTTCAAAGCTTTTCACTCATTGAAATAAATCACTTTTCCATTCTGACAAGTGCATAGACAATACAACGATAATGGGTCAGACTTGAAGCTAAGTTTAAGAAAATTAATTGTTGTTTGTAATTTGCCATAATTTCATTTGATATCATTTAGTTGATAACAGCCAGTAGAGGTTTATCCGACCGAAGAATTTTCTCCTAGAAAGTGATTTTTTTGTCGCTCAATGTCCGATCGAATTTGCTAAACTGATATACGTATCCTGCCTGATACCATTGCATTGTCCAATAATATAGACAATGTCACTAATTAACATAGACAAAGAATCACATATCGACACCCTCACCGGAAGTAACAGAAAAAAAAAAAAGACCGATCAGACGCTAGTAATTGTAATGATAAGTGCCCAGAAATGAAATACTTGTGTCGAGTAACCGATTCCATGGAGCAGTGCTGTACATAAAAAGAAAAATTGATCTCCACCGTAATTGATGTCTTAAGGGTTAATGCATTATGCGAGATTAGGTAAACTCGTTATAACTCGAGCTAAGGCACTCTCCTTCCTCTTGTCTCTGTAATCTCTAACAGTTTTCAGACTACAAAACACGGCATTGTAGACCCTATATTGTCCATATGGGGTCATCAACTCTTTGTTAATGGCGATACCGATCAGTAAGTCATCAACCAAGTACTGCTCACATATACTATGCGCACCTGTAAATTGCTAAAGACAACTCTGTACTAACACCTTCCTGTACTAATTAATTTTCTACTACTGCTGCTCTTTTAACACCAAACTGGACTCATCCGCTTCTTCTTATTAACGTTGCTGTATAAAAAAAACATATATAAATTCAAACTTCTCACGAGATAACACTTTAGCATTGTTGGTACACCACTCGATTTCAGCTATCATCACATTCCATGTGCGAAGTCCAATTGTAAAACAAATTAGACCTGCGAAGGCGCATTATTATAAAGGATTATTTTACAGGATTGCGAGGACTCTTTGCTTCAGTAATAAGGGTCATGGGTTGTACCTTGCTTCACCCACGGAGATTCAGAAGTTTACAGTGTCCAGCGAATTCTGGTATGTATCTTTTCTCATTTAAAATTCTAAATAAGTGCATTGAGGGGAAAAAAAAAAAGAAGCATTTAATTCAACCGAGGAAATATTTCTTTGAATAGTACCAAGAGAATATCTTGTTAAGGTGAAGTGAAACACGTCGAGGAACTTGATCGACGTCGATAAAGAAGATTTGTCTAAATGCCTACGTTGCCGATTTTCGTTTTTATATTGACAGCTGTATCGAATTATATTGGGTATTGTACCAAATGGCATATTCCACCTTTCGTTTTCGTACAATAATTATAAAGAAATCTAAATAAAACTCCAGAAATCCTCTGGATTCATGCTTTTTGGGGCCCTAATTGACTGCAGAGGAACTCCCTGCGCCATCTGTGATTTCCAGGTCAACTAAATTTTCACTCCGAGACCTCGTATTACCATCGTTTTAGCATAGAAGCGCAGGAAAACACTTTTTTTGCCTTCATCCCGTTCAAATGCAAGTTTATCGATTACCAAAGTGTTCTAAATTGTCATAAAATTGTCCTGACCCTTTCGTTTCTCATATCAGAGCTTTCAATAATTGGATATTGATCGAAATATGAAGCTCGACGCCAATTTAATTCTGGTCTGGATTGAGTTGAAACATTTTTTCCAAAAATCCAAATTTTGAATATGTCAGAACAATTCTTAGATGAGCAGGAGTGATGTGTCAAAGTTTCGGACAGTTTGGTTCAATACCCTTAAAAATAAGTGTTGTATTCGAATCGACTGATATGAAGGGTGTTTCACTTCACGTTAAGGTGAAGTACCTTAAGGTACGTTGCCGACGTACGTGTTAGTATTGACAACTGGGTCGAATTATATTGAGTATTGTACTAAATGACATACTCCATATGTCGTTTTCGTACAATAGTTGTAAAGAAATCGAAGTAAAACTCCATAAATTCCCTGGATTCATGGTTTCTGAGGCTCTAATTGACTGCGGAGGGACACTTTGCGCCATCTGTGATTTCCAGGTCAACTAAATTTTCACTCCGAGACCTCGTATTACCATCGTTTTAGCATAGAAACGCAGAAAACACTTTTTTTGCCTTCATCTCGTTCAAATGCGAGTTTATCGATTACCAAAGTGTTCTAAATTGTCGTAAAATCGTCTTGATCCTTTTGTTTCTCATATCAGAGCTTTCAATAATTGGATATTGATCGAAATATGAGAGCTCGACGCCAATTTAATTCTGGTCTGGATTAAGTTGAAACATTTTTTCCAAAAATCCAAATTTTGAATATGTCAGAACAATTCTTAGATGAGCAGGAGTGATGTGTCAAAGTTTCGGACAGTTTGGTTCAATACCCTTAAAAATAAGTGTTGTATTCGAATCGACTGATTTGAAGGGGGTTTCACTTCACCTTAAGTGTGTCGATACTCTTCAGGAAGTAATTCACTTTAAACTACTTCAATAGTGCTTATAAAGTCCTTTCTTTCAGTTCCGAGCTGACAGAGATGATGGGAGATATTTTTATCGCCCATGACATGCCAGAACCACCGAAGGAAAACTTCTTTAAAGGGCTATTCGGTGGTGGATCCAAAAGTATAGATCGCGAGGAGTTGTGTAAGTTAGCATTATCCCAAGCTTATGCTAAGTCCTCTAATTTTTATAAAATAATTAACTCTTTCCCCCCGAAAAAAAAAAAACGTAAAGATATAAAGTATCGAGCCATTCCAAAATTATTGATTTTGTTTGAAAATCCAGTCTTCGAGTCTACCCGAACTATAGTGAACACTCAAATACAAAAATATATGCACGTTCTTAAACAAAATTCACTCTCTCTTGATATATACAATGTTAAATTTTAAAAATAAAGATACAAAGTGTCAAGATAATTTCTAGCCAACCCAATACAATTGATGAATACGCTATTCTAAAATCATTGATTTTGTTTGAAAGTCCAGTCTTCGAATCTACCCGAACTATAGTGAACACAGAAATAGGAAAATATATGCGCGTTCTTAAACAAAATTCAGGCTCTTGATAAATAATACGAAGGCCCCGTCTGGTTAAAATTTGTTAAATAAAGATATAAAGAATTGAAATACCTTCTAGCCAACCGAATACAATTCATGAAAACGCCATTCTAAAATCATTGATTTTGTTTGAAAATCCAGTCTTCAAGTCCACCCGAACTATAGTGAACACTCAAATACAAAAATATATACACGTTCTTAAAAACATTCAGCCTCTCTTGATAAATACAATGACAAATTTTAAAAATGAAGATACAAAATGTCGAGATATTTTCTAGCGAATCCAATACAAGCATTTATGAATACGCCATTCTAAAATCATTGATTTTGTTTGAAAATCCAGTCTTCAAGTCCACCCGAACTATAGTGAACACTCAAAAGCGAAAATATATGCACGTTCTTAAACAAAATTCAGGCTCTTGATAAATAAATTGTAAATTTTAAANGTTAAATTTTAAAAATAAAGATACAAAATGTCGAGATCATTTCTAGCCAACCCAAAACAATTTATGAACACGCCATTCTAAAAATCATTGATTTCGTTTGAATGTCCAGTCTTCGAATCTACCCGAACTATAGTGAACACTCAAATATGAAAATATATACATGTCCTTAAAAAAAATTCAGGCTCTTGATAAATGATACGAAGTCTGGTTAAATTTTAAAAATAAAGATACAAAATGTCGAGATCATTTCTAGCCAACCCAATACAATTGATGAACACATTATTCTAAAAATCATTGATTTCGTTTGAATGTCCAGTCGGCGAGTCCAGCGGACGAGCATCCCGAACCATAGCGAAACATATACCAGGTCCGAACACCGAGAACATCCGAGAACGCGTAACAAGCGCGACAGGTGAAATCAGTATGGCTCATCAAATGGTCCTGGAACGTGGTGATAAACTGTCTCAGCTAGAGGAACGAACGGCACGCATGATGTCCGAAGCCGACAACTTTTCGCAGTCAGCCCACGGGCTTATGCTCAAGTATAAAGATAAGAAATGGTACCAGCTATGAGGTACCAATAAGAAGAATCCTTACGAGAAGAAACGGTAGAGAGAGATAAATATAATGTAATTTAGTATTCACACCTCACCTGTGAGTTCTATCGTAACTGTAGCACATATACCGACATACACGAGCGGCATGCGCGAGCGGCGAGCGCATGCGCGACACAAAAGTAACACGCACACGACGTACTGGTCAAGAAAGTTGTTATTAAGTATGCGCACATAACTTTATGAAGAAGAAGAAGAAGAAAACAAACTGTAATTATAGTACATACATGAACTAGCGTGTGCACGCGTTTGCATACGTTCATAATTGAGAACCACGTTCATACATAATGCCTACTCTCCCACCTAACCTACGTACCTATCTACTACCAACCAACCCGTAGACCTAACCTAACCTAACTATCTACCAATCTACCCTATTCGCATACATATTATGCAGAATTAAAGAAATGGGGGGAGTGCGTATGTAAGATCTACGAATCAGATGTAAAAGTCAATACAAGAACTTGTTTGATAATTCGCCTTTTATTCAATGACGCTCGTTAATTCATTCGGACGTCCCTGGGGATGGCCATTGGGTTCGTACCCCGAACATTTGGGCTCTCTGTGAGACGAAGCAGTTGTCGGGCATTTGGAAAAGGAAATAAAGAACGACAAAAGATCACTCCATATATTTGCAAGCGCTAATAATTTGGCTCGCGTTATTAAGATTGGAAAAGACACAGAGACGCTACTCCGAATGTATTGACAATAACTATACTCGTAGTTTATGTAAAAGAGATGAGAACTGTGACCTAAACGTGATAATTGCGTTAACAGCACCGGTGGCTGAAAGGGACAAAACATCTTGTTAGCAGGGCATGCTAAGAGAGAGTTATAGTTACTAAAAAAAAAAAACTGTAGTTATCGCTAGAAATGTTATGTATATAATGATATCGATATAGTAGAAGCAAACTGTGTGTTACAAAACGTTTACTTGAAATGTGTCATACGTTAAGCTACTCCGGTGTCGTGGCGTATTCAACCAAGACGGTGCCACGTAACGGGAGATGCGAATAGTGTAATTTTATCTATACGCATATAATGGATTACATAACGACAATATATAATAAATTTAATTGAATTTATCGAAGCTCCGAATCATCGTACTGCTTCCATAGCAATAACTGTATAGTCGATGTTAACGATATAGTTGTCATCCGCGCGGAGAATAATATACGTTGTGCAAAGAACTTTAATTAGTATAAATTCTGAAGAGCATTTAATTCTACGAGTATAAATTTTCTTGGACAATATATTCAATGAATATAATTCCTTTTAATTGTATTATAAAATTGTTGCAATGTATATTAAAGGTATGACACAACCTGCAAAGTATCGGAACTAAGTCTAGTTTAACGATACGACGTATTCTATTTCATATGTTCGTTTTACCTTTTGTTTAATTTTATGTTTTATAAGGTAGCTGTGTAACATTGTCGTTAATATAGCGTTATTATACTTTAAGTTGTATCATACCAAAAGTTATCCCATTTTCTAATAAAAATGACTTACAATGATTGCACTTAAAGGTAGATGGGTTGAAAACTAAATAAAACTATCATATTAACCAAGTAAATTTATACTTAAACTTTACTCGTAATATTGTGTCTTTTATTTGTCCGTCGTAGTTAAAAAAAGGATAAAATTAGATTCTCGCAGGGATTGTAAACAGACCTGACTGTACACATATTACGGATGGACAAACCCAGTATTATAAATAAATTTTATCTTTAGCGACTACCAGACAAGTTGAAATAACTAATATGTCAAGTTTATACTGATACCGATCTGGTACAAGTCACGTTCCTCAAGGAACGCAACCCAGAAGTCATGTTAGTGTCTTAAGTGCTGCAAAGAAGTACTTGACATTCGACTGTATCCTGGCCCAGAATAATAAACGAATTTGAAATCACTTAATGACAGGTAATACATGTATTTTCTCGCTATATACATTTTAAATTGCTTTCATATCTTTATAATTTTATTCGTCCATGGCTACCTATATATGTATCGATGAACGTCAGTTATGAATGACGGTTGAATATTTCGTCATGCAGAAATCAAGAGAAAGCAGGTAACTAAAGTTTTACATTGTTAATAACATGTATCTGTCTGATCTAAATCATTCAAAGCTTCAGATACATCGCACCATTTAAGTTATCAAGCTCCATTTATTCTTCAAGCTCGCACCTAAACATTCCTAAAATTACTTGACGCTAAAACACATTAATTATAAATAACCAATAGTAGCTAATGTCGACAAGGTTATCTAAGCAATAATTTAAAAAATAAATACATGCCTACTTCTACTTTAAAGCTTATAAATATGACTACCATTGAAAATGATCTATAACCTATGACGATACCATCCGTACTGTCCACTACTGATTTTTATTTAATGAAATCGTAAATATCCAACCAAAATATCCCTCCTTTATTTTAATATAATTGCAATACATTTATGCAAAACTCTACAATTTAAATATCGCTTCAAATCATTGAAACTAAAAAACCGTTTACGCAGTACCTTTTCTGTATTTAGTCCAACAATGCTTCTCACATCGGGACCTTATCTCCACTCGGATGATATCGATCGCAAATATTCAGATAGATGATTAGACACAGCTTTTACCTTTTATAGATCGTTATAGCAAGTAGTAAACACCGACAAATTTACCAAACTTGCCCAAACACGACTAGTAACAATTATGAATCAGCCGGCAGTGCCGCCATCAGCCGCCATCTTGAATCTTCCACGGCGCTTTTGGCGCCATCTATGAACATCTATAATACCCTCAAAAATATTGCCCAGAAATGAATTGATAACAAACATTCTTTCCCATCTTTTACCAACAAGTGCAGCAAGCTCTGCAGCGACCCATGATTTAAAAAAAGAAAATACATCCTCCTAATGAAGATGATCCGCCTAAGCCTGGAAAGAGGCACAAAAGGGCAGGCAAAACAGAACATTTAAAAGAAATCCAGGAAGTCTGAGATTAGAAAGCGAATAAGTTACTAAAAGACAAGAATATTAATAATACGTCAATCTCGTTAAGTTTACTGAATTTACTGAATTGGTATTTTTCATATTACTAGGTATGCAAAAATCCATTTAAATGCAGACTCGACAAAATGTAATCAGAATAATTGTTCGCCGTCTCTTCTTTGTCAGTCCTGACAAAATGACATAGAATAAAAAACAGGAGGGACAACGTGGCCAAAAAAATGGATGGCTGTCCGTTCGAAAGAACGGAAGGCCATCGTAGTTGCCCTCTTCTTAAGGGGCCGCTTCGGCATATAGCCTCTTCGACTCTTGCAGTCTCTTCGGGCAGAGCCCCCTACGTCTTGAACGCTTGGCAATCCCCTAATTTTTCGGATTTAAAGAACAAATCACTCCGCGAGCAGATCCTAAAGCTAGCAAAACGACGACCTACGATCCGAGGATGCGCAGTCCGAGCGTATTGCACATTTATCCGGATTCCCAAGCGCGGTCTAATTATTTCTCATTCCTGAAAGAAAATTGTTGCAATCGCGGACGTCCGGGAGTACCCTGAAGGAATAATTTACTTTCTAGATTTCAATTCATTATTCGCGAAAATCTTGACGTTCTTTATTAAAGAAATTCCATGGCTCCACGAAAATTGATTTGATAAAAATCAGAGGTGCAACCCGCTAGTGTCAGAATGAACTGATTTTGCAAAAAAAACTTGAGGTCCAAAATTAGTTACAAAGTATTCGGAATATTGGTGATATGACAAGAATATTTTTTTTTCCAGAAAGTAATTCTTACCCTCGGCGTAGAATCCCGGGCGCAGGACGGACATCCTCCACCCTTCCGGAAGGGCGAACGATGGAAAAGTATCCCAAGTCCAGGATCTCCCCCAAACCCCGGGAAGAGATCCCGCCCTGGCCCTGCCTGCTTACAACTAGACATTCACTCCCGACAACTATCCTACCTCCCTAGCTATATTTAAAAAAGTCAAACGTATTCATTCCAACACACTCACTCCACGATTCTCTCGCACTCCACCCGGGGACGACCTCCGGTGGAGGATGCAGACGGCTAATGCACTTGCCACAAGTTACAAATCTGAGCAGCCGGAGAACCGGCTGAAAAAGTGAAGAACTCCTCACAAAAACTCCAAAACCCTGTACCTCCTCCGAAAAAAATCGCAGCCACTAGCTCGAGAGATCAATTTAAGCAGAACA